AGCTGATCATACATAAGGGGAGAATTTACTATACAATATAAAGTTCTTTAATCTATATTCATTATTATCAAAAAATGTTAGATTATTGACCCTATGAGCATATGATATTCTCTAGATTTTGATAATCATAAATTATACTAAAAATTAGGACTTAAGTGTTTGAAGGAAACATTCACATTATAAAAAACACTCATACACATTAATTCTATATTGTAGGATAGAAATTGTATTATTTATCCATCATAAGAGCTCTACAATGTAAGATATTTAAAGAGTATAAGAGAAACAAGCAAGGAAAACTTCACTATTAGTTTGAAAAATTTATGTATCGCCCTAGACATGTTACAAAATTCTACATCTGTTAAGATATAATTTTTAAATGCTATTTAGGATCTTATTAATAATTAACTAAACAAAGATTCTATTAAATATGCTCTTAATTATTTGTGGGAAAATAATAAAGGGGATTTCAAATACACAATACATAATTCTTATGCATTTATCTATCTCACACCCAAACTCTCATTTTTACGAATCAAGCAGCCAACTTACCTTTTTCACCGCTCTCCAATAGTGAAATCCACATTTTCATATATGGGTATGTTGTCGATTTTATAAAGAAGAGAGTTGGGGTGTGAGTTAGGTAAATGAATAAGAATTGGGTGTTGTTTGTGTAAATTTCCCAATAATAAAATTGATCTGGTAAAATGGGCTTCCACAAGGATTTGTGGGTGTCCACAAATATAATTGGGCCTTTTCTAAGTATTAGGTTTATAAGACGTTGTAAGTTATTTTGCAGGCCTCTACAAAAGTTTGCAAGCTTTTACAAGTATCAAAATCTAGAAATATTTAATGATGAATTCTTGCCATATAAGACCAAATTATATATAAAATAATCATAAAATTTTATTGGTTATAAAGTATGAAAAATGTTTATTATTTTTATTTGGTTATTTAAATACTTAGGCATCTAAAGAAAAATATTCTCTAAGAAGTTTAGGAACCTTAGTGCCCTTTTCTCTAAAAGTAGCCATGGAAACATATATCCTTCCACAAAGCTTAAGTAAACTAAAGATTAAAGATGAAAAAAGGTTTTGCTCACCTAATCGCTGAGATATCAATCAATATTGTGATTATGTTATATGCCCCACTTCTTCAAGCAGGAGTTCATCCATAGGTAAGAACCCTTTCCTTAGTCTTTATTTTCATTTTCTATGATTATATCTTATCTTTTATCCAAATGTTTTGGTACAAAATACCATAGAATGGTACTATTGCCAAGAAGGTGACAATAACACTGTCGAAGGAAGAAATGGTTGTCCTAAATAGAAGATGGTATTAAGGCTTCTTCGACTATTAAAAGAGCAACAATTTTACTTGGTGAACGCCTAAACATAAATGTCGAATATAATCAAATATTATAAGAGTTGGTGCTTATTTGGATGATTTTTTTACTTTATATTTCTCGCACAATGCTGCACTTTTGTTTTGTATTTATTTTGCATCATTGAATTTCATAAAGTAAAAATTAATAAGAAAAATAATAAAATAATTATATAAGCTCAAATCAACCCCTCCTATCCCCATAGGCATGTGTAAACCAACATAAATATTTTTTAGAATTAAGTGAAATAAAATAATATTTTGAAAATTTTATACCTTAAAATGACAAGCACTTAAGGTTACATATCTCGCGCTATTTATGACTTTAAATTATCATATTAAAACTTAATAAGATAGATTGATTTTCATTATCCAATAATAATACCTAATAGTTATGATGGTCAAACCTGATGTTTAAAATTAATCCTATTAGCTAGTTCATGTGTATGTTCATGAATTATAATTAATTTGAGAATTAAGTTATTAGGTGAGGTGGGGACTATTAATCATATAAAGAAGCCCTTATTATTTGAAGGGTTCCAAAAACTCAAACATACAAGAGGATAAGCAATGTTTACTTGGACAGGGTTCCAGTACCCACTAAGAAGGTTTGGACATGATATGGGTAAACATCATCTGCTACGAGGCAATGAATTCTTCTAGATAAGGATTCACCAAAAAATGAAGTACATAGTCCCAAAAAAATGTCATATATTAGAAAGTAATAGGTTCCTAATGAATGTGGCCCGTTAATAAAAGAAGAGCATGTTCTTAGACAATATCTACTACAATGTAATGGGCTCCTATAGTAGATCGAGGTTCGCATAAGAGAGATAAACACAATCTAAGTCAACATTGCTGACTAGAAATGAATTAATTTCTAGTGGATAAAGGTTCACTAAAGAGAGAAGGATGTGGGCAAGTAGACATTATTTGCTAAAAATAAATGACATCTAGATAAGATTGGCTCGCCAAGATGAATACTCATCAAGTAATGGTGTGTTTAAGTGAGAAAGAGCCTTCAGGTGCAAAAGTATTGTTTCAAAACAAGACCACGGTTCTGAGACAAATATAGATAGATCTAACCAAGCATAAGGAAAGATATCTTTCTTAAGCAACTGTGAATCATTTGGGGGACAAAAATGATTTGAAGTAAGGGGAGCCCTTTAGATCAAAATAATTGCTCAAGCGGTATTGAGCTCGCTTAGAAACTAAGAGTAGAGACATGGTCCATACCCTCAATTAAAGACTACACTTGTAATGAGTTAAGATATCCTTAACCAATTAATGATATGGAAAGGCCAATAATGGTCACAGGATAGGCAAATGATTCATGTTGTAGTCCAAGGATATCTTTTCCTTTGTTATTCTTGATTTTATTTCAAAATGCTTCATGTGATATGATGGATCTTCTATTCACTTTCTCAGCATGATTGAGAGAAGAATCATGCTAATAGCAATTTTGTGAATTCATGTAGGGCTAGGATGATTTGACTAGTTCATATTAAAAATAAAATCAAACTCATCAAATTCCTGCACATAATTTATCGATGATATGAACAAGATCAAAATTGTGTACTCTGAATGGACATCAATTCAGAAATAGTCCCTAGGATTTGCTTTATGAATAGGTAGATTGTTTTACAAAATTTTGAAAATCTTATGACTTCGATGTTACTTTCCACTTTAGAAACTTAGAAACCGATTACATAAATGAATTCTTCGGGGGCTTATTATTTACAAATCCAAACAATAAACAAGTCCACTTACTAACATGAGACTACTTTCTGACATGCAATCATTGAGAAAACCATTTTAAATTACACTACTAAGAAAAAATCTAACAAAACGAAAGCTTTTCAAGAGTAAAATATCAAAATCGAGGTATACGATTTGGATTAAATGCAACTCTAACTCAATCCCCAAGCAAAAAATTTTAACATCTTAAAATTGAAAAAAATTAACCATTTACAAGCAAAACTCAAGGCAAAATTATGTACAAATATTCCATTTTTATTACATTGATGTTATGTAAATGTAGCTCAGTTCATGAAATTCTGAGTAGGATCTTAATGCCGACTAATATTTTCTTATGAAAATATATCTTGTAACTTAAAACTGACACAAGAAACCATTGAGAGTAGACTAAACTTCAACAAGTCATGCCATGAATTTCTTACACGCAAGCAGACTTCCATTTTGGGTTAGGTTAATCGTGTAGGTTTAAGTGGGCTGTTGAAGCATCGACTAGAGCTCAAGGTTCCTTTAACTTTGATTATTTAATTACATTAAAGTTCAAAGTTAATTTAAATGATTTCAATTATTCACTTATATGGACTGAAAATGATGAGAGTAGAAGTTAAGGATATAATATCACATTGAGTAGTATATTAAGAAAGGAGAAAAAATAAACATATTTCAAGAAATTTGTGCTTAAACCTAAAAATTCTCTTATTAAAAACATTTTAGTAAAACTTTTTAAACAAGTCAATCCCAAAGTCGCGAGTCAAAACAGGGCTAAATCAAAATTGACTTATCAAGCTCAACTCACAAGTCAAGTCAGCTCGGTTGGACTCGAGGTTTAATCATAAAGATGAACATGCTTCTCTTGGATCAATGAGAAGCTCATCATGTATTGAGGTAGTTATTATAAATGCTAGTTCTTTGGACATAACTCCAACGACCAAAAATGGTGTAGAAAACAAAATAGTCTTAATCTGAAGGTCATGATCTTCAAAGAAATCACATGAATGATGATAGTTATAGCTCAATAGCTTACTGAGGATGGAAAAAACTAATGCTGATGATTTCAATAACTTAATACCTAGAGACTATTTATAACGATAATTATTTCAATAAACTCAAAAATAATAAAAGGAAAAACTGATTCAACATTTTAAGCCCCCACAATCTTGATGAATTGAAAGCTCCTCAATTTAGCCAATTTTAGCCTGTTAATTGGGGGCTTAATCTGTCAAAAGGTGTTAGGATCAAGACCTTATATTTGAATAGTGTAATTTTACAATTAAATACACTCAATATTAATAAATAAATAAATAAATAAAACAAGGAAAACTCATTGAATGTGAATAATGCTTCTACTTTTTTTTTTATTTGCTATGGCAAGAAAATGTTTATCAAATTATGGGGAAGGGAAATCAATATCAATTTGATATTTATAGAAGTTTACATTTATCACCTAGGATGATATGAAACGTGTACAAAAATAAGGGGGATACCAAAATAGTTGGCCCATGATAAGTTCCAAAACAAAACATTTGAAATAAGTGTAATATAAGGCGAATAAAACAACTTCCAATGGTGATGAAACAGAATAATGAGTGACGATGCAGCCTTCCGCTTCAGTATATATAATGCATTAAAACGTTAAACTCTCATATGAAAATTCAAGTCATTCTATAAATGAGTTTGTATGCTCATCAGGCCAATGTGAACATGCAAAATGATGTTTTTTTAGTCATATTTTCTCATATAAAGTAAAATTACTTTAAAAGCTCACTAAGATAAAGAAGAAGAAACACAATTAGCCACTCAGCCCAACTTCCAAACACCGGATGAGAGCTTTATCGAGCACAGGTACGAGCAACAATATGTTCTTCAGTAATAAAAAGTATCATAAAGATTTCTGAATGATAAATTCACAAGGAGGCTTGTTTGAAGGACTAAAATCCAAATAACAGCATGCCATATGTTCCTCTTGCATAGATATCATTTCATATAAGAGTACCTTAAGCCTGTTTATAAAGGTAATTTGACAATCCCTGGAAAGTGAAAATGGAAGGGTGAAACAAACAAGAGCTTGCAAAGCTTCAAATCAATTTCTCCAGGCAGCATCATGCTTCAGTAGAATCATTGGTCGGGTGAATCAGTACGGATGGCTGAGAATAAAACACCAAATTCAAATTAGCTGGATAAAACAGAACATCGATTGTTGCAAATGAACTGGTTTCAATTCGGCGAACAAAAAAAGAAATAAGACTAGTATATGATCAATTTAGGGGCTGTTTGGGATCATTTTCATCTTTTTTTTCTTTTTTTCTTTATTAGTAATCCTTTTTTTAAACATTTTGTTTTAAAACACATTACATGTTTGACATATTTGATAAGATATGATAATTTTTAAAAATGTTCAAAAAGTCTAAAAATTATTCAAATATTTTCAAAAACACATTAATTTATTTTTAGAAACATAAAAAATATATATATATATAACACACTAAATAAACATAATTAAAAAAAAAGGAGAATACAAAAATAAAAAAAAAACAGTAAAATTGATCGCAAACAAGCCCTTTATATAAAACACACTAAATAAACATAATTAAAAAAAAGGAGAATACAAAAATAAAAAAAACAGTAAAATTGATCGCAAACAAGCCCTTAGCATAATACATATCATGCAGGAAGAGTTATGTTTTTGTTTCAGGACACATCAGTCTATTTTTAATATAATAACAGGATCTATTATAAATCAATATGAACATCGTTTGAAGACAACTTGTGTAGCATAACGCATCATGTTTTAAAAATTGTAAACGATAAGTTCAACTGCAGGTAATTTGGTGGACTCTAGCAATACAAGTTAATTGAAGTTAAATCTAAAAAAGTATTATTCCGCTTCTGTAGGGGAAAAAAAAGAGAAGACAACCATAAGCAGTACGATGCAAGCAAGATAGTGATGATGCAACCGGAAGCATCATTCTAAAGGAGCCTTCTTGGATCATATGCACATCCCAAGGGTAAATATGCAAGGATCCGACACTACATAGTGCTGGTAGGTCAATTCCCTACTAAATGCTAACAATTCTTTGAAATACCATACAAGTAAAATACTAAGGGCACATGAAGACACAACAATCCGGTAAGGGTGATTAGGGTAGCGAGATTGAATAATGTAATACTGGGAGGGGGGAGGAGCGGGCGTCTTTCTCATTTATAATAGATGAACTGATCCCAAACATAGCTTAAAATTTCATAGTAGGGTAAAATATTAAATCCAATATACTCTTATTAAATATTGCACATTCAAATCAAATATGATCTAAAAATAATAAATACTAACTAAAATAAATTTAGAAATTCTAATTTAGATAAAATAACTAAAAAGAATCATAAATCTAATTTCTCAAGTTTTGTCAATTCCCGTAAGCCCATATAAAACTCCTTACGAGTTACACAGAAGCCCATTGCTTGTACATCTGGTAGCCATGGTGGAGTTATTGAAGAGCTGGAAGTAGCTTTTCATGAACATCTTTTAAATCAACAAGACCAATCATAAAGAAGATTTGGAGGCTTTATGCTGGGATGGAATCATGTATCACCATATACAATCTTAAAAGAAGTACTACAGAATACTGCAAAGTCGCATATTAGTGGCCGCAGTGGTAATTCTATCTATGATGTAGCAAGCAATAGTGTAAAAAGCTTTGGCACAACCAATAACTCCATTTATAGACATGGGAAGTAATAATTATGACTGAATGCTTAGGTAAGATAACAACTCATGTATAATTTCTGGCTCAATCTGATAAATTGGCATAATAGAATCATTACGCTCACAGTATTTTTCCCAGTTTCAACCATATATTATCATGCTCAAAATCAGATACATATGAAGAAGAATGTATGGATTGCCGGTGGAGAATTAGGAACTGAAGAGCTTCAGTAGGACAAATATGTGTAATGAGTTCATCAAGTTTTTCATCTAATAAATAGAAACTTTCTGTAGTGAGAAGCTTATGACATTGATGAAACATATCAACAAAATAATAGCATTGATTTCATAGTAATAACAATAATTTTGGAAATTTTGGAACTCTATAGACGTTCTTTTATGTTTGTCATATATCTTTAATTTATAAGCCACGCACCTTGACCAATTCAAACTCCGCGGCTAAATTGATATTATGATAACATACAAAAAGTTGAAAAAGCTCGATACTAGAATTTAAGAAAATTATAACATCAAACTGTTGTAACTCTTCCTTCTTTCTAAATGTGATTTGAGGATGAGTAAGTGGAAATGAAAATTTGATATATTCTATGATTCATTGACAATGCTCTCTAGCTCAATTCTTGGATCAAAAATGTTGCAAAAGCTTAGATCACAGATGAAGGGAGCAAGTATCTATAATTGGGATGGCGTTTGTGATCGAGGAAGGCATGTTAATGGGGATGTAGGGGAGCACAACGTTGATCCATTAAAAAAATCTTGATGTGACAGAGTTGAAAAAAACTAGAGCTCGTATGCGCATTGTAGAAAAGAAGTGCAAATTGCAATGAGTTTTATGGAAGCCAAAATGATTAGCTATCAAGTGAAATGTAAATCACGTAAGAGAAGAATGAATGCAAGCAAGCAAAGGCCATAAGTAGAGTGCTACAAATTAAGCATCACAGGAGCATCTCATGAAAGAAATGGGATTGCAATGGGTTGGTTATCATGTTACGGAGAAAGGCTTAACACAAGGTTTGCAATAACGAGCATTCAAATCTAAAATATTGTTAAAGTCCGAATATCAAATGATACTGGGTGGAACGGCACAAAAGAAGAACTTTGTATTATTAGAGAGAATTGCGAGGGAAACAGAAGAATAGGAGTTTCAAATCAAATAATCAAAAATACAACTTATGAAATCCCATTTATAGATGAACTGATCCCAAACATAATTTAGGATTTCATAGTAGGGTAAAATATTAAATCTAATATACTCCTATTAAATATTTCACATTCAAATCAAATACTATCTAAAAAATAATTAATTTTAACTAAAATAAATCTAGCAATTCTGATTTAGATCAAACAACTAAAATGAATCATAAATCTAATATTTGGGATGTAAGTCATGGAAGATACAACTTATGGATCTGGGTGGAACGACACAAAAAAAGAACCTTGTACTATTAGAGAGAATTGAGAGTAAGACAGAAGATTAGATATTTCAAATCAAATAACCCAAAAATGGGATTAAGGCTTTGTTGTTGTTGTTGTTGTTCTATAAATGGGATTCATAAGTTGTATTTTGATTTCAATTACATGTTTTATATCCCTATTTCTATAAAAGGGATGAATCCCATTTATAGAAATAGGGATATAAAACATGTAATTGAAATCAAATCAAATCTTATCAAATAATTCAAATTCAAACATAATATTATCCAAAAAAATTAATTAATTCTAATTCTGTGTGCACATCATCCTCCCTAAGAACAATGGTCTGATTGAGAAATGTGTCAAAATTCAAAAGTAATGCAAGCTTTCTTATATCTCATGAAAAAAAAGGTTGAAGTTGAAATATTCAAGCCTTTAAGCATTAATGTCATCACAAAAGGGGTTTTAGGACAGTAGGTGCTCCCATTGAAATTTTTTAGATGCAAAAGACATATAAGAAAAATGATTATTGATTACTATAAACATAAAAAAAATATATCTAAGGCATGTAGAAGCAATAAAATCTACAAAACTTGCAAATAGCATTGGCACACCAATTGAGAATTGACTCAATACTGGGTAGCAATTTTTTACAACAGGAATAATTGCTGATGATGAAGGCATAACTTTGAAGATAATTAGGCCTTACATTTTATTTAGTTTTACATGTTCCATTAGGTGGAGAAGTTTCCACAGTTCATACTTGTAGTTGTTAGCCAAGATTCAACAGAATGCTTTCAACAGAATGATTTCAAGAGTTCTGTCACAAGTTGCACAATTTGCACCACCCAGGCAAAAAGCTAAAAGATGGTATATTAATAGTCAAAAGGTAAGTAACATGAATTCTTGGGTAAGCAAGCAGCAAGTAACTAGTAAATATAAATAGTGGGCCTTGCTTAAAATTGCGCAATATGAAGAGCGCCCGCCTAAGTGTTTTTATAAAAAAAAATCACAATGAAACTCACGCTTCATTGTCTCAAGGTGAGGTGTACATCTCACCCAAGTTAATGCACACCTCAAAAAACATCTTAATTTTTTTAGGCTATCTGTACTTTTTTAAGCAAAATTAAAAACAATATTAATACACCTAATCTACTAAAATTCAAACATCACACACTAAATAGCAAAAAACAAAAGGAAAATGTATCCATAAAATTATGTAGTTTAAATTCTAATTATCATAATAGTTATTATTTTAAATTATATCTTTATTCATAATTATTCATAAAAAAATAAAAAATAGTTGACATTAATGATCATAAGAAATAGGAGAATATATGTGAGATAAATAATTCATTATGTAGATAAATCTAATGAAAATCAATTAGGTGAAGAGAGTAATAGAGACATTAAAGTTAAAAATTCGAACGTTTAAGATTTGTTATATTCTTCTTTAAGTGGGGGTACTATGGGTGAGAATGAATAATTAATGTTAAACTTATTTTAATTGTTACGTTTCAACATCTTAGTATTTTACTCTAATATCTTTAGCTTATTTCAGTATTTTAATATTTGTACCGCTCATCTTATTTCATAATTTGATATTAGGATATTAACACGAGTTACTTCTAATTTTATATAATTAGTTACTTTTTATTTAGTTAAATCATTGCTATATTAGTTTTTAATGTGTTAAAAAACTAGAATTTTATATACTATTTCTTACTTAAAACTTTATATTTTATATAATATTTATTAATTTACTCAACTATTTTATATTTGAGGCTTATGCGTCATAGGGCTTATGCCTCGCCTCAGAAATGAAAAATGTCATAATACCTAATTGCGCAATTTTAAGCATTGATAGAGAGCTCTAGTAAATTAAAAAAGCAAGTTTAAATATGGAAGTATTGAATACCACATGTTGGTCTCATTTGATGGTTGGACTAATAGCTTATGATTATGTGTAATTGATGAAAAAGATGTAAGATAACGTTATGGATATTGAGG